CCAAAACCCACACAAGATGACCACTCGAGCGAAACGGGGCTTTGGCATCCCTGCTCGCCGTCTTAACCTGTTAGCCTCCACCTCTACCATATCCCCTGTTCCTAAAACATACCGCTCTGCACTTCATGATCCCCATTGGCTTGAGGCTATGCGCTCCGAGTTTGATGCTTTTAAGCAGAATGACACTTGGGAGCTTGTTCCTCGTCCTCCCTCCTGCAACGTTGTCTCAGGCAAATGGCTATTCCGCCACAAATTTCACGCTGATGGCAGCTTGGCTCGCTATAAAGCTCGTTGGGTATGCCGCGGCTTCTCTCAACAACCGGGAATCGATTACGATGAGACGTTCTCCCCCGTTGTCAAACCAAGCACGATTCGTGCCGTCCTATCCATTGCGACCTCCTCTCACTGGCCTATACACCAACTAGATGTAAAAAATGCCTTCCTTCATGGCACCTTGACTGAAACTGTGTACTGTCAACAGCCACAGGGCTTCGAAGATCCATCCTTTCCTGATCACGTTTGCTTGCTTAAAAAGTCTCTTTACGGCCTTAAACAAGCACCCCGAGCTTGGTTTTCTCGCTTTGCCACATACATTCAGACCCTTGGCTTCCTCCCTTCAAAGTCTGATTCTTCTCTGTTTACTTATCACTCCGACAACGCCACCGCCTACCTCCTCTTATATGTTGATGACATCATCCTAACCTGCTCCTCCACTACCTTCCTCAACTCTCTTATAGCCTCTCTTCGGTCAGAATTCTCCATGACCGATCTTGGAGCTCTCCATCACTTCTTAGGCATTACTGTCACGCGCTCCTCTGCTGGCTTGTTTCTCTCCCAACGTCAGTACCTCTCTGACCTCATTGACCGCGCTGGCATGACTGACTGTCACATTGCTCGCACCCCCGTTGACACTGGCAACAAGCTTGACTCCTCCGGCAACCCTATTTCTGACCCGGCATTCTACCGCAGCCTTGCAGGTGCTCTGCAATATGCCACCCTAACCCGCCCGGACATTGCTTATGCTGTCCAACAGGCCTGCCTATTCATGCATGATCCTCGTGATCCTCACCTCGCTCTTGTCAAGCGTATCATTCGCTACCTCAAGGGCACTCTTCATCTTGGCTTACACATAAACACCTCCTCCCCAACTTCCCTGACAGCATACTCGGATGCCGATTGGGCCGGCTGCCCCGAGACCCGTCGCTCTACTTCTGGATTTTGTGTGTATTTAGGTGATAATCTAATCTCTTGGTCTTCCAAAAGGCAACACACTGTTTCCAGGTCGTCAGCAGAAGCGGAGTATAGAGCTGTGGCACACGCTGTTGCTGAGTCTGTGTGGCTCCGCCAATTATTGTTGGAACTCCAACGTCCAATATCCAAGGCCACCATTGTTTTCTGCGACAATATCTCTGCAGTGTACATGTCAGCGAATCCAGTTCAGCATCGCCGCACCAAGCACATTGAGATCGATCTCCACTTTGTCCGTGAGAAGGTGCAGCTGGGCGAAGTCAAAGTACTGCATGTTCCTACTCAATCTCAATATGCTGACATTTTCACCAAAGGACTACCAACAGCGATTTTCAGTGAATTTCGCTCCAGTCTTACCATCGTCGACATCGATGCTGCGACTGCGGGGGGATGCTAAGTGTACACATTACTGTCACGTTTACATGACTTAGTCTCCCCACCATTAGTCCCACGATGCACGATATGTGTGCACGTTCTCTGTAAACTGCCTGTATTCAGTGCCTATATGTACTCCTGACTCTGAATCAATGAGATAAGTTCAGACTCTGTTCAGTTTTACAGTTCAATAGCTTCATATGTTGTTCGATAATTCGAACTCTGCGTTTTGATAGATATAAGCATGTTGGCAAGAACATAAAAGAAAAGGTAGCAGAGAGACCATCAGATCATGCGCCGGCAATCACAGACATGCCAATTTGACTACTACTATTTCGGGGCCGGAGTAGCGCCTCATGAAGGATGTGACGCTACAATTAGCAGAAACTATAGAAACGCAAACGCTGAAGATACGAACGCGACAAGGAGCTTTAAAGAAGGAGAAACAAACTTGTGGTCCACCGCGGATGGGGCGGGCACATCTCCGGCGGACTGTTGAGCCGGAGGGGTCGACGAGAAGACCCTAGAGGAGAAGAGCAGCGCCCACGGCGATCCACCTGACGGCTTCGTCGCGGCGGCGGTGGTGTGGGAGGCAGAAGTGGAGGCTTCCAGGAGGGGTGAGGCCCGGAGGAGTACAGAGGCCCGAGAACTGGCTCGCCTTGCTGCTGTGAGGCCGAAGATGAGCTTCCGCGCCGCCATCGCCGCCGGCGCGCCGTCGATGGAGAAGATCGTGTGTGTGTCGTGGACCGTCCCAACTCGGCCTGGTCGAAGGCGCTGCGCTTTTGGGTTGGATCTAGAAGTAAGATGGGCCGTATTTGTGACTCCAACAGGCCAGGCACTCCACCAAACCAGAAGATACCGGGCCGAATTGCACACAGGTCAATGGCGTCAGGGGCTAGCTCCTCCGAGGCATATGGGCTACCCCCTCATGACCCTTTTGTATCCCTATGAACATAGTTTCTAATTAATAAAGTGTGGGATCCCTCAAAAAAAAAACTCCTCCGAGGCATATGGGGTCGCAGCTCCTTGCACCCCGCGCGGCTAGCAGCACCGATGATGGTATCCGAGGGGAATCAGCCTGGGATGGCCGGATCTGTAGGCGGAGGACGGGTTCCCGCCGGCGACGGGGCAGCCGGGCATGGCGGCGGGAATGGCGGTGTTAGGGTTTGAGAGGATAAGACGAGGGAAAGGGAAGATGTGGGTGAGCGGGTGCGTGCGAGGACGTGATCAAAGCGTTTTTCTTGGCAGTGGCATAACAACCGTAAAAAACTCGAACTCCAGATTCAGAAAAACGTGGAGCTGGGAATCCCTCGATCCAGAAAAATGAACTAGAGCCCACGATCGCTTCCTGGATTTCAGCTTCCTGTAGTTATCGCGTTCGGGCGGGGCTTCGGGCCGAAAATTGGTGCAGTTTGGATTTGGAGAAGATCATAACAAGCCCTATGCTTCAGCTTTTGCAACTTTTTCATTTAGGGAATGATATTAGAATCAGCCGGTCGATCACGCCTAGCGTTCCGCCACTCGTCCAGCCGACATATCCAAGTTCCATCGGATGGTGCACAACATACATCTTAGTGCAACGCAATAGGTGTTGCAAAACATCTAATTCGTGGCACCATCCGACTCAATTCGTACGGGATGCGTGTCTCTGCCACCTTAACAATTTTCTCATCCTCCTGATTATCCCACCAGAACCGGCAGATCATCTGGTTAATACTTTCACACAGGACATGGCATAGGCTGGGATAGCCTGGGCAACGGTTTTAATCAATATTTCCTTCCCCTTTTTGGACAAGAGCTTAATTTTGTAGCCCTGCAGCAGCTCACAAATCCTATCTCGGAGATACTTGAAGCAAATGCGTCGTGACTTGCCAACATAAGAAGGTAGTCCCAAGTACTTCCCCTTTGTTCGTTTCAGTTTCAAAATTAATGGCTCATGTACTGACATGGTAATTCCGGGTTGTGGTCTGAGGCAGGGAGACCCAATATCCCCGTACCTATTTTTGATATGTGTCGAGGGCCTCTCCGCCCTGCTAAATCATGCCGAGGCAGTGGGTTCGATAAGTGGTATTAGGGTGGCACCGGATGCACCTTCAGTCACACACTTGCTTTTTGCGGATGATTCCTTGGTGCTTATGGAGGCTACTGAAGAAAGTGTGGCAGTGAATGAAATCCTTGGGGTATATGAGAGGGGGTCAGGCCAAACCATTAATCGTGATAAGTCTGCGGTGCTTTTCAGCAAGAATACGTCCCATCAGAGGAAACAAAACTTACTCTACTTGCTTGGTCTACAGAATGAGGGACAACACGGGAAGTACTTGGGACTACCTTCTTATGTTGGCAAGTCACGACGCATTTGCTTCGAGTATCTCCGGGGTAGGATTTGGGAGCTGCTGCAGGGCTACAAATTTAAGCTCTTGTCCAAAAAGGGGAAGGAAATATTGATTAAAACCGTTGCCCAGGCTATCCCAGCCTATACCATGTCTTGTTTTGATTTGACCAAGTCCCTGTGTGAAAGTATTAGCCAAATGATCTACCGCTTGTGGTGGGATAATCAGGAGGACGAGTGTCGGTGTCAAAACCGGCGGATCTCGGGTAGGGGGTCCCGAACTGTGCGTCTAGGCCGGATGGTAACAGGAGGCAAGGGACACGAAGTTTTACCCAGGTTCGGGCCCTCTTGATGGAGGTAAAACCCTACGTCCTGCTTGATTAATATTGAAGATATGGGTGTTATAAGAGTAGATCTACCACGAGATCAGAGAGGCTAAACCCTAGAAGCTAGCCTATGGTATGATTGTATGTTGTGATTATTGTCCTACGGACTAAAACCCTCCAGTTTATATAGACACCGGAGAGGGTTAGGGTTACACAAGGTCGGTTACAAAGGAGGAGATATCCATATACGTATTGCCTAGCTTTCCTTCCACGCCAAGTAGAGTCCCATCCGGACACGAGACGAAGTCTTCAATCTTATATCTTCATAGTCTAACAGTCCGACCAATGGAGATAGTCCGGCTGTCCAGAGACCCCCTAATCCAGGACTCCCACAGTAGCCCCTGAACCAGGCTTCAATGACGATGAGTCCGGCGCGCAGTTGTCTTCGGCATTGCAAGGCGGGTTCCTTCTCCGAATACATTACAGAAGAAGTTGAATACGAGGATAGTGTCCGACCCTGCAAAATAAGTTCCACATTCCACCGTAGAGAGAATAATGCTTTCGCAGATCTAATCCGCTAGCTTGTTTTGTCAATATGACATTACGTCATGGCCCGATGATTATTCGAACCGTTTCTCTTAACCAGCTCCACACATAACGCGAGGCGGTTTCCTGACACGTCTTGCCAAAGCGGAGATCGTGTTTGTAACACCCCGGTGTAATGATGCTACAGTAACCCCTGGGGTTAAGTTAATCTTTTTGCTAGACATGTGCCTGATCATTATTGTCTCATGTTCTTTCACATTCCAGTTGAATTCAAATTCAAATTTTGTCTGAGATTCAAAATGCTCAGACATGAAAACAAAAATGTTCATCATGTGCAGAATAATCCAGAACTAATTTTGGTGGTGAACCAACATTTTTGCAAAAAGGTTTGAGTGGCCTAAGCTACTTCAAACAGTGGCCTAAGAAATAAATTAAATGCCTTTTTAATTTATGAAAATGGCAAACTATTTCTAAAGCCTCACAATCTTTTTTTGGGCAGTGCCTAATAATTCTTTGAGATTATTTTGTCCAAATGGCATAATCTTTTGCAAAGTCTTTATTGGCTAAAAGAAAAAGAAAAGAAAATGCAAAAGCTGTTTAAAAAAAAGGGAAAAGAAGAGGGGGTGGGAGAGCCCTGGCCTCCCCTTGGGCCTCGGCGACCCACAGCCCCCCCCC